GAGGGAGTGGTATTCAGGGTATTTGAGGTGGCTGGGTTAGTGGTATTTGCGGTGGTGGTGGTGGCATTGGTATTGTGAGGGGACTCGTGGTGGTGGTGTTGTTGTTGTTGGTGTTGTTGTTGATGGAGGGGGAAAGAGGCGAAAGGAGCTCCGCATACATCATGATCTTCCAGCTATCGACGGGGAGTTCGGCGTCGTTGAAGGACCAGTCGAAGCGTTCGCCGGCCTCTGGTTCGTCTGTAGGGTCGTGGTAAGGAGCAAGGTATTCGTGGGCCAGAGCCTGGACAGCGCTGGTTCGTGCTCTGGGATCAAAGACGAGCATTTTCTCAATCAGATCGACGGCTAGAAGGGGTTAGTCTTTGTCTGATTGACAGGCACGGTTGGAGAGAGGTATATACCGAGGGGGTCTGCATCTTTGAACTTTTCACTGAGTGGCTGTCGGTGTCTCTTGGGAAGAGACTGGACGAATTGGAGTGTCTGCTCGGGTTAGTTCGAAGGTCTAGGTCTAGAATGTAGAAGAAAAGTTGAAATAGAGAGAAAAGGCACCCACGTTGGCAGAACCGATAGTCTGGATGACCTCGTCTGGTGGCGTCCCGAGCAGCTCGGTGATGATGGAGAACTGGTTGACATGATCCTTGCCCGGGAAGAGCGGTCGACCAGTCAGCATCTCGGCGAAGATGCACCCCGCACTCCAGACATCGACCTCGACGTCGTACTTTTGCCATGTCAGCATGATCTCGGGGGCACGGTAGTAGCGCGTCGAGACGTAGCCGGTCATCTGGGGGTCCTGGACACGGGCGAGGCCAAAGTCGCAGATCTTGAGGTCGCAGTTTTCGTTGATGAGGATGTTGCTTGGTTTGAGGTCTCGGTGGACGACGCCGGCGGAATGTACATACTTGAGGCCTCTCTAGACGGTGTTAGCAGTCATTCCGTTAACGTATTCAGTATTGACGTATTCAGTATTCAGAGAGGCGTACGAGGATCTGGTAGAGAAAGTACTGTATGAACTGCTTTTCTAGGGGCCGGGAGGTGAGCAGTCTGTGGAGGTCGGTGCCGAGCAGCTCTGTGACGAAGTATCTGCGGGCGAGTGTCAGTAGATGTGCGCGGCTGATGGAGGAGCAGGCAGAGCACCTACATGTCTTCGAGCGGCGAGATGAAGATGTCGCTTAAGCTGATGACCTGTAAGAAGTTAGTATATATATATTATTGTTATTGTTATTGTTATTGTTATTATTATTATTATATGGGGAGGTACATTTTCATGTCGCAGGTGCTTGAGCAGCTTGAGCTCTCGGTAGGTCCGCTTGGCCAGGACAGGCGTGCTGAACGGCTTCATGATCTTCTTGACGGCGACGGCCTGGTTTGTCAATTGGTCTTTGGCGGAGCTGCACAGAGAGTTAGCCCGCGGGGAGGAGGAGGGTACTGGCGTAGACCTGGGGATATCTACCAGACAAGACCGAAGGCGCCCATGCCCACCGGCTGCAGGTCCGAGTATCTGCGGCAGTCAGTAGGCGTCTTATGCTATCTTTATCATCTCCATCTCGATCTGATGCTGTGCTGCAGAACGTACCTGGTGGTGATTTCGAAGGTGGTGCCGAATATCTGGGCGCGCACGAACTCCGCCATGATGAAGACGGCCGAAGCACGCAGGTATATCGATAGAGGGGTAGAAGTCGAGGTCGAGGTCGAAGTCGAAAGAGTAGCTAGTTATCGGTTGAAGGTGTTGCTGGCCGGAGGAGATGTGGCTGATGGCGATGGCGATGGCTGATGGAGGTTGAGTTGAGTGGAAAAGGTGGAAGTGGAGGAGCAAAGAGAGAGAGAGAAGAGAGAGAGGAAGAGAGGGGCGGCCCAGTGAGCAGCAAGTTCGCAGCGACAAGCAACAAGCAGCAGCAGAGACTAAGCAAGGCAACCCTAAGCAATAGGCCAGCGCAGCTAAGGGCCGGGAAGCCGGTGGACTGGATGAGATGACTAGACTAGGGCGATGGAGATGCGATGGATGCGATGGAGATGAAGCAAGTAGTTATCCCACTACTGGCTACACTGACTACTGACTACTGACTACAACTGACTGACTGTAGATATCAACGAGCAACGAACAGTGAGCAACTATCTGCCGACCTCTGCTCCGTCGGCCATTAGGTTATCGAGTATCGAGTCCACCAAGGCTGCAGCTCTGGTTCTACTGTCTACAAGTCTGGCTTGCCTGGGTCGAAAGGCCTCTCCGCGTCGCCACCTCGCTCGCCTCTCGGAGCAGACAGCCTGAAGCAGACAGCTTGAGCTTTGTCCCGCCCCGAGTTTCTTTCCTCCCCCGGTTTACATCATAGAGCTAGTTAACTAGTACTGTGACTTAAACTAAGAGAAGTGTTTAAGGTCACTGTCAAACAGAGAGAGAGGGCTTGGGAGCTGGTTGAGGGCTGCTGGTTGGCTGGGGTCAGAGGGCGGTTTTAAGGGGGACAGCGAGGCAGCGAGGCAGCGAGGCAGCTCGGGACGGTGCAGGAGAACCTCCATGTTTCAGGTGCAGCAGCCGCGTCCATTGAGAGGAGAGAAGAGAGAAGCAGGAGAGAGAAGCAGGAGAGAAGAGGCAGATGAGCAGCGGAGGATAGACCAGAGGATAGACCGGAGGATACTAGAGGATGAGCGAGCGGCCTGTCCTGGCCCAAGGCTGAAACGGCCAGCTCAGCTAGGACTGAGGAATGAGGACTGAGGACTGAGGACTGGAATGAGGACTTCGAACTGCGTCCCTCGGTCAGGTTTCAGGCTCTTCGTCGTCGACTCTGCCTCTGCCATCTTCTTACCTTACTGCGCCTGCTAAGAAGTCCCAGTCCCAGTCCCAGTCCCAGCCAGTCCTCAGCCTAGGGAGCATCCCTGGCGCTTCCACATGGCATGGCCGGGGCAAGCGACGGACGCAAGATCTCGTCGTCTTCCCTGTCTCTCCCTTCTCTTCTCTTCTTCTCTTCTCTTACATCTTCTCTTACATCTTCTCTTACATCTTCTTCTTCTCTTTAATATCTTCTTTAATATCCTCTTCAAGTCTTCTTATAAGTCTCTCTGTAGTCTCAGTCAGGCTCACCGTAAATCTGGCGTAACGTCCTGTAAGATACCGCCCGCTGCCCCCTCGCCACCTGCCAACTTCTGCGGGTAACGGTGGGTAATACGCTTACCTAACAGCCCGCCTTTTCCTTGCTTTTTCTCTTCTTTCTCTCTCTCTCTTTACTCTCGTCACTCTCTCGCTCTCTCGCTCTCTCTCTCTCTCTCTTACTGTCTTCTTCTCTTCTTCTTCTTCCTCTTGACTCTTGACTCTTGACTCTTGACTCTCTGCTGTCTCTTCTCTGGTTGTTGTTCTCTGCTTGCTCTCTCTCAGCTGGCTTCCTCGTCTCCTCTACGTCCAGCAGCCCGTCCTCCGACATCCGCCGCGAGACAGTTCAACCAGGTCAACCGCCTGCGACAAGACTCCGGCGACCAGCGACCGCCAGCCAGCCAGCCAGCCAGCCAGCCAGCGAGACGAGAGACAGGCGTCGTCCATGCGCTGCTGGCCTTGAGTTCCTCCCTCCGCCGCTGGGGTCTCGCCGGCCCAGGATCCACCGTCGCCTGTCACCACCATCGCCTACACACGACCAGACACACAAGTCCATAGTCCATCGACAGACAGAAGACGAAGGACCTACAGCATAAAGAATAAAGAGGACAAAGACCGTCTTTGTTGTGACGGCCGCCCTTCGCCTTCGCCGTCGCCGTCGCCCTGCAGCCTCCTCCTCCTCCTCCGCATAGCCTGCCTCGTAACAACTAACGACACCACCTCAACATCACCATTAGTTATTGCATCTATCTCACATCTACAGACATCACGCCCGGCCTCCCGCTATATCGCCTGCCTCCCCTATCATTCAGTCACCGTGTCTCCACCGGACAGGATGGGAGGATGTCTGAGTTCGGCCGGCAGCGGGTCGGACGAGATCATGGAGCAGAAGAAGAAGAGCCAGGCCATAGACAGAGTCCTCGAGGAAGACATGAAGCGCCTCAAAAAGGAGTGCAAGATCCTCCTCTTAGGTATTATCTTTTTCTTCTTCTTATTGTTCAACTCATGATTGCCGTACTAAGAGGTGCAGGCTCCGGCGAGAGCGGCAAGTCGACCATCGTCAAGCAGATGAAGATTATCCACCAGAACGGTTACTCCGTCGAAGAGCTGTCCATGTACCGCCTCACCGTCTACAAGAACCTGCTCGACTGCGCCAAATCGCTCGTCTGGGCCATGCACCAGTTCGAGATCCAGCCCTCCAGCGCCAAAGTCCGCGACTTCATGGACTACCTGCTCGACTACAACATCGACCCGGACCCAAACGTCGCCCTCGAGCTCAAGGTCGGAGACGCCATCACATACCTCTGGAACGACCCCAGCATACCCGCCGTCCTCGAGCGCCAGAACGAGTTCTACCTCATGGACTCCGCCCCGTAGTACGTCCTCTTTATCATATAATAAATATTTAGTTATATGCTAATAGCAGATAGCTTCTTCGAGGAAGCAAAGCGGATAACGATGCCAGACTACATCCCCAACGAGGCTGACGTCCTGCGCGCCCGAACAAAGACCACCGGCATCTATGAGACCAGGTTCACCATGGGCCAGCTCTCCATCCAGTACGTCATATATTATATCT